GGAAAAAAACAGAATAAAGGGGAAGAAAAGAGGGAAAAAAACCGGGAGAAAATTCCCAAAGCAACCAAAACCACCGGAAAGGAAGGGAAATTAAAAATAAATAAAGCGCGGGGGCTGCGGGAGCAGCCGATCCCGGGATTTTTGGGGGACGGAATTCCCAAATTCCCGCCGCTCCGGCCACTCCCACTCCCTGTAGTGTCGCCGGATCCCGCCGGGAATGGCCCCGGGAATTCCCGGAGATCTGCACGGCCGAGCCCCGGCTCCTTCCCTGCCCCTCGCAGGCGGGAAAAGTCAGGAAAAATCGGGAAAAAAAGTCGGGAAAAAAATCCGATTTTTTTTTTTGTTTTGTGTGTTTCGTGTTTTTCTTTTCCCAAGAAAAAGTCCCGAAATTCCCGAGGTTTGGTTGGAATCTTGTGCGGAGTGGGAAGAGGGGAAAGCTCCGGAGTTTCCCCCTCCAGGACCTGTGGGAAGACGGGAGGGCAGGGCTGGCATTCCCTGGAATTCCCTGGAAATTCCCAGAAATAATTCCGGGCGGGAATTCCGGGCGTTGCGGGGCGGAATTCCAGGATTTCTCCCGGCTCACCTGCGGTCACAGCGGCTCCGGAGCCGTGTCCTGGCTGGCCTCGAGGAGCAGCTCCTGCAGCTCCTGCTCGTTCCGGGAGCAGCTCAGCTCTGCGGGACGAGCGCGGAACGTTCCGGAGCCGCTCCCGCAATTCCCGGGATTTGGGGTTTTCCTGCTCCCTTCCCACTTTTTCCTCTTCCCAACCCAGGGATTTGGGATTTTCCTGCTCCTTTCCCAGTTTTTCCTATTCCCAACCCAAGGATTTGGGATTTCCTGCTCCCTTCCCAGTTTTTCTGGATCTCAGCCCAAGGATTTGGGATTTTCCTGCTCCTTTCCCACTTTTTCCTGCTGCTTTTCCCAGTTTTCCACCCCAATTCCTGCTCCTTTCCCACTTTTTCCTCTTCCCAACCCAGGGATTTGGGATTTTCCTGCTCCTTTCCCAGTTTTTCCTATTCCCAGCCCAGGGATTTGGGATTTTCCTGCTCCTTTTCCCAGTTTTTTACCCCAATTCCTGCTCCTTTCCCACTTTTTCCTCTTCCCAGCCCAGGGATTTGGGATTTTCCTGCTGCTGTTCCCACTTTTTCCTGCTGCTTTTCCCAGTTTTCCACCCCAATTCCTGCTCCTTTCCCACTTTTTCCTCTTCCCAACCCAAGGATTTGGGGTTTTCCCGCTCCTTTCCCAGTTTTTCTGTTCCCAACCCGGGATTTGGGGTTTTCCTGATCCTTTCCCAGTTTTTCCTGTTCCCAACCCGGGATTTGGGCTTTTCCCACTCCTTTTCCAGTTTTTCACCCCAATTCCTGTTCCTTTCCTGTTTTTCCATTCCAAATCCAGCTGCATCCCCACTTTTTCACCCCAATTCCAAACTCCCGGGAATGCTCCGAGCACAGGAACGCCCTCTGGAATTTGGGATCTCAGAACCCCCAGAAATCCAAGAATTTGGAATCTCAGAATTCTCAGAAATTCGGGATCCTAGAACTCCTGGGAATGCCCCGAGCCCGGGAACGCCCTCTGGAATTTGGGAATTCAGGAATCCGGGATCTCAGAACCCCCAGAAATTCGGGATCCCAAAACTCCCGGGAATGCCCTGAGCTGGGAACGCCCTCTGGAATTTGGGAATTCAGGAAT